TCATAAAAGAGCTGAGGTTGCCTACCCCTGGCATAGTCATTAAGTGAATTGCTGCAGTTGTTAAGTGAATCTGGCTTCCTTGTTGACTGTTGCAAAAGGGGACTGATACATTCATTTGGAGAGGAAACTCTTCCAACACTTGGGGGTTGGGTGACACCACCTTGGGAAAGAGAACATTCTGGAACAAGGATCCCCAACCCCCAGTCAGGGGACCAGTACTGGGCCGCGGCATGCCAGCAACCGGTTCGCACAAACAAAGCCCCATCCACTGGATGCAGGCAGCACACAAAACCACGCACTCTCCAGTCCGTGGAAGAACCTTTCTCCACGTAACTGGTCCCTGGTGGTGCCCAAAAGGTTGGGGACCTCTGTTATGGAAAACTTCATATCATTCTGGTTTTCTTCTGGATTGTCCCACTCTGGTCATTTTGGAATATTCCAATAAACTTCCAGAAGTAAAACTACCAGAATGGCTTGGCCCAAAAGAAGGGTTGGAAAAGACCTTGGAGGTCTTCTAGTCTAGCCCCCTGCTCAAGACAAGAGACTTAATACCACCCTGGTCACATGTTTGTCCAGTCTATTTTCAAAAACCTCCAACGATGGAGTACCCACAACTCCGGGAAGCAAGATGCTCCATCTATTAATCCTTTGCACTGTCAGGAAATTCCTCTTCCTTTTTCCATGTTGGATCTTCCTAAGGATGAGCTTCCATCCATTGCTTCTTGTCTTGCCCTCAGGTGCTTTGGAGAATAGGTCAACCCATTCTTCTCTGACAGTCCCTCAAGTACTGGAAGATTGCTAACATGTCCCCCAATCCTTCTTTTTGATAAGCTAGACCAGGGGTAGGCAACCTTGGCTCTTTTATGACTCTTGGACTTCAACTCCCAGAATTCTTGAGCCAGCCATGCTGAGGAGAAATGAAGAAGTTTCCATGCTGAGCCATGCTGGCTCAGGAATTCTCGGAGTTGAAGTCCACGAGTCATAAAGAGCCAAGGTTGCCTACCTCTGGCCTAGGCCGCTTTCATGACTCGTGGACTTCAACTCCCAGAATTCCTGAGCCAGCATGGCTCAGCATGTTAACCTCTCCCTTTCTCCTCAGCATGGCTGGCTCAGGAATTCTGGGAGTTGAAGTCCACCAGTCATAAAAGAGCCAAGGTTGCCTACCCCTGAGCTAGACATATTTAGCTGCCTCAATCATTTATCATACAGTTTAACTTCCAAACCCTTTATCATCCTTCTTGTCTATGGAGATTCTCAGTCATCCAGGTCATTGTTATCCCAAAGATGCTTTTTCAGGAGGCAACTGGACTTCCTTTTTTTTTCTCTGAAGATGTTTCGCTTCTCTTCCAAGAAGCTTCCTCAGCTCTGACTGGATGGTGGGGAATGGAAGGATTTATACTCCTTGCAGACAGCTGGTCATTTGCATTCTTTTGGAGAGTCGTTGAGGCCAACTGGAGGCTTGTCTGTGTCCTCAGGGTCACCTGAGTAGAGCAAATGGGAGTGGAGCCTTCTTGGAACTGCTGAAAGGACTGTGTTGTCGACTGGAGAGAGATGATGTCGTATCCCTCCCCCTCCGTTGAGAAAGGGCTGTTCAATTTTGAGATAAATGGCCTCTTAGACCCCTCTTTCAAACCATCGATCCTCTCTGTCCAAAATGTGGACTTTGCTGTCTTCAAAAGAGCGGCCTCTGTTTTTTAAATGCGGATGGACTCTTGAATCTTGTCCGAATAGGTTTGTTCTCCTATATCACAGACAAACGTGGTGATATATACACCACGACTCTCTGAAAGAATGCAAATGACCGGCTGTCTGCAAGGAGTATAAATCCCTCCATTTCCCGTCATCCAGTCAGAGCTGAAGAAGCTTCTTGGATGAGAAGGGAAACGTCTTCAAAGGAAAAACAAAGAAATCCAGTTGCCTCCTGAAAAAGCACCTTTGGGATCCTTCTTGCTCTTTTCTGCATTCTGTCTAGGTCAGTGGTTCTCAACCTGTGGGTCGCGACCCCATTTGGGGTCGAATAACCATTTCACGGGGTCGCCAAACAACGCAATCCATTTTTTCCCCTTTTCCTTAGCTGGGTTACTCCCTTTTATTCTATTGGCTTTTGAAAGCCAATAGAAATTGTCCAGGCTGTCTGCCCTGCTGAGCCCGCCAAAAGTCCCATTCTGCAAACGGTGCTCAAGTTGTCTGCAGCGAAGGCGAGCTGTCTGGAAGTTTCCACCCCTCCCTGCTGAGCAACTACTAAAAATGTAAGTAAAAGAGGGCCAGGGATGGGAGGCCGGTGGGTGCAGGGAGGGTTGCTGGCGCGCATGGGGCCCAGCGGGTGCCTTACCTCCCTTGGGCTGGGCCAGCTGGTGGCCCAGCCGGTGGTCGGCCTGCGCCGTCTCTGCCGCTTGCCAGCTACGCCTCGGCCGGCGCAGGGGGGCAGCACCATGCATGTGCGGCACTCCCGGGCAGGGAAAGTCCTCGACTTACAACCAGTTGGGTAGTCCTCGACTTACAACCGGTTGGGTAGTCCTCAACTTATGACCGGTTGGGGGTTGCGGCATTAAAAAGGTTGAGAACCACTGGTCTAGGGTCTCAATGTTTGTTCTATAATGTGGTGACCAGAACTGGATACAATATTTTTCTAAGTGTGGCCTCCTTAGTGCAATGTAAAGCAGTGCTATTATTTCTCATGGTTTTGATGTCATCCCTCTGTTGATGCAGCCCAGCACTGTGTTGGCTATTTTGGCAGCTGCCACACATTGCAAAGAGTCCAAATATATGCTGAGGGATAGAAAGGCTCTAATCAGACAAAAACACAGATCTGGCTGTGTCTTCCTGCCTGCGGGGGGGAAACGGTGGGAGTCTGATAGTAAAACAGAATAGAGCTGGAAGGGACTTTGGAGGTCTTCTAGTCCAGCCCCCCACTCAAGCAGGAGAACCTATACCATCTCAGACAAGTGACTGTCCAGTCTCTTCTTAAAAACATCCAGTGATGGAGCGCCCATAATTTCTGGAGGCAAGTTGTTCCACTGGTTGATTGTCCTCACTGTCAGGAAGTTTCTCCTTAATTCCAGGTTGCTTCTCTCCTTGATCAGTTTCCAACCATTGTTTCTTGTCCTGTCCTCTGGTGCTTTGGAGAATAACATGACCCCCTCTTCTTTGTGGCAGCCCCTCAAATATTGGAATACTACTATAATGTCTCCCCTGTTTCTTCTTTTCTTTACACTAGCCAAACCCAAGTCCCGCAACTGTTCTTCATATGTTTTAGTCTCCAGGCCTTGGATCATCTTAGTTGTTCTTCTCTGAACTTTTTCCAAGGTCTCAACATCTTTTTGTGATATGGTGACCAAAATTGGCTGCAGTATTCCAGGTGTGGTCTCACTAGGGTTTTGTAAAGCGGTACTAATACTTCGTGTGATCTTGATTTTATGCCTCTGTTTATACAACCCAGGATTGTATTAGCCTTTTTGGCTGCTGCTGCACACTGCTGGCTCATGGTCAAGTGATCGTCCAGTAGGACTCCAAGATTCGTTCATTCATTCATTTAATTTCTATAGCTAACTAACTCAACCAAGGAAGCCGCTTAAATTCTAAAATGGCAGTTGATGATTCACCTACTGGTTATTTTTGAATACAGACAGTCCCCTACTTACACCCATTCGTTTAACAACCCTTCAAAGTTACCACGGCACTTTAAAAAGTGTCGTATACAACCGTCGCAGATCCCTGTGATCACGTGATCAAAATTCGGACCCTTGGCAACCAGCACGTATTTAACAAAAGTTGCAGCATCCTGGGGGGGGGGTCAACCTGATCAACATTTGCATCTTTCCCAGCCAGCTTCCAACAAGCAAAGTCAACGTGGAAAGCCAGATTTGCTTAACAACCAGACAATTCACTTAAGAACTGTAGTTCTTTGCTGAACAACCATGGCAAAAAAGATCTTAAAATCGGATGCTACTCACTTAACAACTGCCTTGTTTAGCAACAGAAACTCTGGTTCCAAATTTGGTGGTAGGTCAAGGACTACCTGAAGTCCTTTTAATATCGCTATGCATAAAATAAACTGGGCTTTTTCTTCCAAAATGCACTTAAAACCATAAGTGGAAAAATAGCAATAGGACTTAGACTTATATACCGCTCCATAATGCTTTACAGCCTCTCTAAGCGGTTTACGGAGTCAGAATATTTGCCCCCAACAATCTGGGTCCTCATTTTACTGACCTCGGAAGGATGGAAGGCTGAGTCCACCTTGAGCCGGTCAGGATTGAACTGGTGGCAGTGGGCAGAATTAGCCTGCAATACTGCATTCTAACCATTGCGCCATCATGGCAAGGAAGGAGGGAAAGAAAGAGGAAGGGAAGGAGAAAAGGGAGGGAGAGAAAGAAGGAAAGGAAGGAAGCAATACTAATAGCACTTAGACTTATATACCGCTTCACAGTACTTTACAGCCCTCCCTAAGCGGCTAAAGAGTCAGCATCTTGCCCCCCAACAATCTGGGTCCTCATTTTACCGACCTCAGAAGGATGGAAGGCTGAGTTGACCCTGAGCCGGTCAGGATCGAACTGCTGGCAGTGGACAGTGTCAGCCTGCAATACTGCATTTTAACCACTGTGCCACCATGAGAAGGAAGGAAGGAAGGAAGGAAGGAAGGAAGGAAGGAGAAAAGTGAGGGAGAGAAAGAAGGAAAGGAAAGAAGCAATAGCAATAGCACTTAGACCTATATATCGCTTCATAGTACTTTACAGCCCTCTATGAGTGGTTTACAGAGTCAGCATATTTTCCCCCAATAATCTGGGTCCTATTTTACCGACCTTGGAAGGATGGAAGGCTGAGTCAACCTTGAGCCAGTCTGGATCGAACTGCTGGCAGCCGGCAGTCAGCAGATATAGCCTGCAATACGGCATCGTAACCGCTGCGCCACTACGGCTCTTTGTTGTCCATTTTTAACATCGTCTTAAAAGTTCTCAGCCCTTGAGCTTTTTTTTAAAAAAAAAAAATCACATTTTTACCTTGGCTGGTGGAGTTGAGCATTGGGAAGGGTTGATCGTCCATGTTTCGGGACTGTTATACGAAGGTCCTTCGGCCAAGTTGAAGCGTAGTTCCTCCTCGCTTTGCAGACAGCCACTCCAAGACCTTCGGCCAGAATATATACTGATGACAATGGCGCTGGTGTTATCGGCACGAAGCATGCGCTGCCTCCACCGGGCCAGCGCTCGGTTGACCAGCATTTTAGCCAAAGACTGTTGATGTTCTCCCTTTGGGGTCAGATGCCAGGAAGAGAAGAAAAAGGGAAATCACTAGTCTGAAAGGCTGTGGTAGGTACGACAGGTACACAAAATCTGTTTAAAATCTCTGCACTGCCGCTGAAAATTGGAAACGACCTACATTGGCATATTTAGAGGATGCTTTAACCCAGTGGTTCTCAACCTTTTTAATGCCACAACCCCATAATACAGTTCCCCATGTTGTGGTGACCCCCAACCACTTATACATCACTGGGTGCCAGGGGCGTGGCCAAAGAAAAGGGGGAAAAAATGGCGGACAGCCTTGTTTGGCGACCCCCGTGAAATGGTCGTTCGACCCCAAATGGGGTCCCAACCCACAGGTTGAGAACCACTGCTTTAACCGGAGTGGCCTTCCCAGAATTCCCCAACCAGCACACTTTAAGAAGGGTGGACTTCAACTCCCAGAATTCCCCAGCCAGCCTGCTTTAAGATGGGTGGCTTTCCACTCCCAGAATCCTCAGCCAGACTGCTTTAAGAGGGGTGGACTTCAACTCCCAGAATTCCAATCAAGCTCCTGGCCAGGATTACTTATTCAAGCCGATCCCCTTTTTGGGCAAAATCTTGCCTTTTTGACCATCCCTTGCAATTACCTCTATGTGTGAATAATGCAGAAAGGGAGAACAACAGAATAAGAATTGGAAGGGACCTTGGAGGTCTTCTAGTCCAACCCCTCTGTTCAGGCAGGAAACTGTACCGGTTCAGACAAATGGTTGTCCAGTCTCTTCTTGAAAAGCTCCAGTGTTGGAGATAGTTAAGGAATCACAAATGTTGTATGCATATAGATCAGGGGTAGGCAATCTTGGCTCTTTTATGACTCGTGGACTTCAACTCCCAGAATTCCTGAGCCAGCTATGCTGGCTCAGGAATTCTGGGAGTTGAAGTCCACGAATTATAAAAGAGCCAAGGTTGCCTATCCCTGATATAGATGTTTGTGAAGATAAGAGCACAGGATAATAGGAATAAGCACAAATTACTTGCTTGAATAAACAATATGGCTGGTCCACAAATTAGAAATTACATGGTCATTTAATGACCATCTGAAGTTACAACAGCACTGAAAAAAAAACTGACCAAAATACCGCCACGGTCACATGACCAAAATTTGGCCACTTGGCAACCAGCATGGATTTAAAAGGCTTGCAGTATCCCAGGATCATGTGATCACCATTTGTGATCTTCCCATCCGGTTTCCATCAAGCAATTCCATCAATGGTGGGAAACCAGATTCACTTAACAACTGCACGATCTGGACTTGACGTCGCGGCATAATGGATGAAGGTAGATGGGGCTCTGTCTTCCACGTTCGATTTCGCCCCACTGGGGACTCTAAAAAGGGTCGAAAGTCACCCTGTAGAGGCGACGAAAAAGGAGGGGACCCTCGTTGATCGCAGAGGGGTGGCAGCCCTTTCGTTTGATCCGAGGAAGCCCTCCAAACCGGTGGGGAAAAGCCTGGCTACATTCATGTAGCTAGTCAGAAGCTGCTAACAACCAAAAGAAATAAGCACTAACAAGCAACTTTTGAGCAGCGTGGATGAAACTGGGTGAGACTTTATCCCCGTGGTGGCGAACCTATGGCACGCGTGCCACAGGTGGCATGCAGAGCCCTCTCTGTGGGCATGCGTGCCATAGCCCCAGTTCTAGGCCTTCAGCTGGGTTTTATAAAAACTTTTCGCCTCCGCTGTGTGCAAAAAAAAAAAAGGTTCAATCGATCAATTTCAACTTCTCGCAGGAAAAACAAAAGATCTCTTTGCAGAGTTGGAATTGATTGATTGAACTTTTTAGTCCCACCCAGTCTGCCGTTGCCACCACCGCAGCCACACCCACCCAATGGGCCACACCCACCCAATGGGCCACACCCACCCGGCACCCGACAATACATAAGTGGGTTTTGGGTTGCAGTTTGGGCACTTGGTCTCTAAAAGGTTCTCCATCACTGCTCTATCCTCTCTTTATAACTTAAAGACTGTTTCCTGGAAAAAAACGCCCAAAACTATAAGCAATAGTGACGGGATATTATATTAAAGAGATATTTGAATAGGGTTAAGAAAATAGACAACTGTTAGAAATAAAAGTATTATCGTAACTAGAAGGATAGGATTTCTAACTAGAATATTATATTTTGTTATGAGATGGGAAATATAAAAATTCTAAAAGGGTTTGAATAAAGGAAGCTTTTGGTTACCCAGATATAATATACTATGAGAAAATTATAGGCGATAGAGATATTTTGAACATTGATGGGAAATTATTATTTTTTTTAAAAAGCAGGAAAAACAGGATACTGATGGAACAAATGGATTTTAAGTACAAATGCATTTGAGATATATTTTGGCTAGAAAAGATATTATAAACTGACAAGTACCACTGAATCACCAATGAACCCAGACAACACGTTGTTTATTAAGTATTTGTGGTTGTAAAAATTAGAAAATTAATAAAATGTTTACCAAAAAAACCAACTGCATGATTCACCTAACAACATGATTTGCTTAACAACGTGGCAAAAAACTCACTTAAGAACCAACTTCTACTCTCAAATGGGGTTTAAAAGTTGAAGACTTCCGGTTATAACAATAAATGCCTCTAGTCTAGAAAATTATGTGTGTATCTGGATAGGTCCCTCACCCTTTCTACAGGTAGTCAATAATAATAATAATAATAAACTTGGAAGGGACCTTGGAGGTCATCTAGTCCAGTGGAGGCGAACCTATGGCACAGGTGCCAGAGGCGGCACTCAGCCCTCTCTGTGGGCACGCGCACTGTCACCCCAGTCCTAGGCCTTCAGCTGGGTTTTATAAAACCTTTTCGCTTTAGGCCTCCGCCGCCGTGTGCAAAAAAAAAAAACGTTCAATCAATCAATTTCAATTTCTTGCGGGGGGGGGGGGGGAAAGATCTTGTCAAGTTGGAATTGATTGATTAAACTTTTTAGTCCCACCCCGTCTGCCATTACCACTGCAGCCACGCCCACCCAATGGGCCACGCCCACCTAATGGGCAACACCCACCCGGCACCCGACGACGCATAAGTGGGTTTTCGGTTGCAGTTTTGGCACTCGGTCTCTAAAAGGTTCGCCATCACTGATCTAGTCCAACCCCCTGCTCAGGCAGGAAGCCCTATACAATTTCAGACAAATGGTTGTCCTTGACTTACAACAGTTCATTTAGTGACCGTTTGAAGTTACAAAGGCACTGAAGAGTGATATATGACCATTTTTCACACACACGACCGTTGGAGCATCCCCAGGGTCACGTGATCAAAATTCAGACACTTGGCAACTGACTCGTGTTTATGACGGTTGCAGCGATCCCCTTTTGCGATCTTCTGACAAGCAACGTCCCTGGGGAAGCCGGATTCGCTTAACCACCGTGTTCCTAACAACAACTACAGTGTTTCACTTAACAACCGTGGCGAGAAAAGTGATAAAACGGGGCAAAATTTGCCTAACTGTCTCACTTAGTTAACAGAAATTTTGGGCTCAATTGTGTTCATAAGTCGAGGACTACCTATCTTCTCTTTCTCCAAAACGTAGAACAGATTCAGCCCTCGTCTTTGAAAAAGCCAAAGAGACAAAAAACGAAATTTGAAACAACGCAAAGAAAAAAAACAGAAGTCCTGACAGCTCACCATAAAATACTTTTTCTCTTCGTGGTCCTGGCACATGGAAATAGCCTCTTGGGGGGGGATCATGTTCCACAGTCCATCGCTCCCCAAAATTATGTATTTATGCTTCTGAGGATCTAGCGTGTGTACACTCGTGTCCGGCTCTGGAGACACCACGAACTGCCCACTGTAGAAGTCATAACTCCACAGGTCGCCTAAATAAAAGAGACATGGGTTTATTAAAATTAGTCTTGCTCTTCTTCCAAATTATATTTCAAGAGTTCACTTTTGGTAAACATTAATTCGAGTCCTTTCAGAATCCACCCAATGAGATTTTCCTCATTTGGCCCATTGCAAGCAGGAAACTAGAGGTCTAGTTTAAAATCTACCTCAGTGATGGCGAACCTTTTAGAGACTGAGTGCCCAAACTGCAACCCAAAGCCCACTTATGCATCGTCGAGTGCCGGATGGGTGTAGCCCATTGGGTGGGTGTGGCCCATTGGGTGGGCGTGGCCCATTGGGCGGGCATGGCTGCGGTGGTAACAGCAGACTGGGGGAGGGACTAAAAAGTTCAATCAATCAATTCCAACTTTGCAAGATCTTTTTTTTCCCGCAAGGTTGAAATTGAGCCTTTTTTTTTTTTTTTGCATGGTGGCGGAGGCCTAAAGAGAAAAGGTTTTATAAAACCCAGCTGAAGGCCTAGGACTGGGACGATGACGCGCGTGCCCACAGAGAGGGCTCTGAGTGCTGCCTCTGGCACCCATGCCATAGGTTCGCCACCACTGATCTACACATTCTCTCAACATCTTTTCTAACCAGATATGTATCTTTGTCCAATAATTCTTTACCTTATCACTTGTCCCCCAAACACGATAATACATTCCTGAGTTCTGTTTACATTTCCAACATCTGACATATTTTTAAACCAGCGGTTCTCAACCTATGGGTCGCGACCCCATTTGGGGTCAATCGACCATTTTTCGGGGGTCGCCAAAGGTGGTGATCTGCCATTTTTCGCGGCGCCGTGCACGCGTGCTGCGCACGGGGGCGGCGGCGCACATGCGCGCCACGCACGGGGGCGGCGGCGCACATGCGCGTCGCGCATGGGGGCGGCGGCGTGCACGCGCGTCGCGCATGGGGGCGGCGGCGTGCACGCGCGTCGCGCATGGGGGGCCATCACGCATGCGTGCCACGCATGGGGGTGCCGCGAATGCGCGCCATGCATTGGGGCCCCGCTCCCATGCGCGCGGCGCCACGCATGCGCAGAACGTTTGTGTGACGGGGGTCGCCGTCACACAAACGTTGAGAAGCACTGTTTTAAACATTTTTGCTAATCTTGCTGTTGGCAGGTGCCATCTATAACAATTAGGTATAATGCCAGAAAAGACTAACAAACAAAGCCCTATATTTGATTTTACACGTCACAAAAGCGGCAAGACTAATATTTGCGCAATATTGGAAAAAGGAAGGAAGACCACCAGATGAAGAAATAATAAAAAAAAAATACTAGAATGTGCAGAGACGGACAAATTGATTATGAGACTGAAAGAAAAAGAAGAAACAGAATATTATCAAACTTGGGACTTATTTTACCGATGGTTAGAGGAAAGAATAAAGAATTGGGAATTAAATATGTATTAGCGCAGTGGTTCTCAACCTGTGGGTCGGGACCCCATTTGGGGTCGAACGACCATTTCACGGGGGTCGCCAAACAACGCAGTCCACCATTTTCTTTTCCCCTTTTCCTTAGCTGTGCTACTCCCTTTTATTCTATTGGCTTTTGAAAGCCAATAGAATAGACTCTCTTGAATAGAGTCTAATTCTATTGGCTTTCAAAAGCCAATAGGAATTGTCCAGGCTGTCTCTGCCCTGATGAGCCCGCCAAAAGTCCCATTCTGCAAATGGTGCTGCACCAGTTGAGTAGTCCTCAACTTACAACCGGTTGAGTAGTCCTCGACTTACGACCGGTTGGGGGTCGCGGCATTAAAAAGGTTAAGAACCACTGTATTAGCGTATTTAAACTCAGACAGCACGTTGGCTGAAAAATTATTAGTGTATGTATGGAAAAAACTAATAAAATCTTATTTTAAAAAAAAGGAAACCGGAGGTCTGGAGGATATTTGCTGTGCAAGACAACTTTCCCTGAAATAAGAAATCTAGCAGGCCAAGGAAGAAATGTTTCATTCGGACTTCTCTCTAACCTCTCATTTTTATGCATGAAGGCGGTTTATGTTGCTAGCATCAAACAGCAAACTGCCAGCTCTTCTTCTTCATCATACTATTAGTAAAGGTGCTGGCTTAGAAACCAGGAGATGGTGAGTTCTAGTCCCGCCCTAGGCATGAAAGCCAGCTGGGTGACTTTGAGCCAATCATCAGGAGATGATGAATTCTAGTCCCGCCTTAGGCATGAAAGCGGGCTAGGTGAATTTGGACCAATCACCAGGAGACAGTGAGTTCTAGTCCCGCCTCAGGCATGAAAGCGGGCTGGGTGAATTTGGACCAATCACCAGGAGACAGTGAGTTCTAGTCCTGCCTTAGGCATGAAAGCAGGCTGGGTGACCTTGGAACAATCACCAGGAGACAGTGAGTTCTAGTCCCGCCTCAGGAATGAAAGCCAACTGGGTGACTCTGGACCAATCACAAGGAGACAGTGAGTTCTAGTCCCGCCTCAGGCATGAAAGCCAACTGGGTGACTTTGGACCAATCAGCAGGAGACACTGAATACTAGTCTCGCCTTAGACATGAAAGTCAGTGGTTTTAATAGAGGGCATCCTAGTATTTTAACCACGATGCCCTGCTTAAAATAACCACTACCCAACCAGAAAGCCACATCTCCAGCAGAATTCAGGTGGCCTCTTGACGCAAACACCTGGAGGAACAGTCAGGTCTTCTGAGTCCTAGGAAAAGCTAATTTGATCTCCAGGAGGGACACCGTTGCACAGGGCAAATGCAGCACACAGATGGCACCTTGGCTCCAGTAGTGTTGGAACTGGCCCACCAGCCAAAGCTCAGCAAAGGTTACCCCAACCATGGTTCCCACTCACCCTTTAAGGAGGCGAGTCCAAAAGGAACCCCAAATCACAAAACATCTCCCTCAGTCCTCAGAAGAAACCACAGTTGTCCAGAAGGAACCCCAAAGTCACGAATCATCTCCTTCACTTCACAAAAGAAATGTTGGGTTTCCCAAAGGAACCCCAGATACAACGAGTTTAAAATCAACTCCAGGTCTTCATTCGCCAGCCAGGCTTCCATGTCATGTCAACAAGCCCAACTCACATGATCACACAACCTTCCAAGGAATAAATCATAAACCTGGTTTAATGGCACGGTAACCCGGCTCCCACGATACACTAACAGCTGGGTTCCTACAACCACAGGCAACCCTCGCACAAGGGGTTCCGTGTCCCTGCGGACGTGCTCGAATCGACCAGCCATTCACACGGCCTGGTGACAATTAGGCCACAGCCCAGTTGTGGGACCCCCGCTCTAAACTGTAGCTTCGTCCAATGTGCTGTGTGAAATGCCGCAGGGTATCCTGATCTCTCACAAAATTGTTCAGTTGGCGGACTGGAAGAAAAGGGAAAGGGAAGCATTTTACATGAGTGCACCGCAAATGGGGCGGGGCTACTGCCTGCGTGATACTCACTAGTCCTGCCCCATTTTTGTGTGGTGCAGCGTCTTGTTTCTGTGCCCTGCAGCACAGCACCTCGTTTCTGCGCCCTGCAGCGCGGTGGCGGCCATTTTTGCGCCTTGCAGCACGGCTGTCATGGTTGCGATAGATGAAACCCTTCAAAAGAACTTGGAGGCATTGTTTACCTTAAAGAATCTTTTATTCGGGAAACAAAGTATCAGCACTACACAATCCGAACCTAAAAACTAAATTCCCCTCCCCTGGAAACAAAGTAACAAAGCACAATTCCATCCTCCAATAAACACTCATAAGTCACATTCCCCAATTAGCTTGAAGTGAGGGCTTTCTCCCCAGCCCGCCAAAACGGCTATCAGCTCTGGGCCCAATGTCCTTGGGTTCCCACAGCTGAGTTATTATTGTTATGGCTAGCTGGGCTCTCATCCACATTCCCCCTTCCAGCATCAACTAACTCTAAAAGCAATAGAGAAAATGGCTGCATTTCCATCTGATGTCAAAGCAAGAACATCCGATGTTAAGAGTGTTGACAATGGCGGTGCCCAGTTTTTGCGCCCCATGGCACAGTTGTGGCCCATTTCCATGCCTATGGTGCAGCATCGTCCATTTTTAAGCCTTGCAGTATGGCAGCGGCCTGTTTTTATGGCCTGAGGCACAGCGGCGGCAGCCCATTTTTGCACCCCATGGCCATGGCACTAGCACAAGTGAAGCGGTGTGTGTGCACACGCATACACACCGGTAAGCCTGTCCCACAGCCCAGTGATCAGCAGGCCATGGCCCACTACTGCGCCGTGGTCCACAGGTTGGGGACCCATATGCTAAAGAACCAACCAGCCATATCATCCCGTAGGACTCTCTTCCCTGTCACCTTTTGCTGTGTCATCCCTGGTTTACCAAGTTACTTAGGGATGCTGGCGGGCATATGGGTCCCAAGGCTTTATTTTTAGAGGATTTATGAACTTATACAGGTTGTCCTCGACTTACAACTACAACTGAGTCCAAATTCTGTTGCTAAGCAAGACAGCTGCTACGTGAATTTGGTCCCATTTTATGATCTGTCTTGCAGCTATTGTTAAGTGAACCACTGCAGTTGTTAAGTTAGTAACACGGTTCTTAAGTGACATTGCTTGTCAGAACGTTCCAGAAGGGGATCCCCCGGCACACTGCAACTGTCATAAATACAAGTCAGTTGCCAAGCGTCTGAATTTTGATCACATGACCACGGGGATGCTGCAACGATCGGAAAACAGCCGTAAGTCACTTTTTTCAGTGCCATCTTCAAAAGTAACAAACTGTTCTACGTTGAGGACTAGCCGCGTGAAGCCAAAATTCTGAAATGCTGGAAGGTCTCAGGTCTCTTGTCCCCAAGTGGCACCTCAGTGGTCTCCTTGGCATGGACCGCCCGAGTCTCTTCCCAAAGTGGATCGAGGGAGCAGGTGGCACAATCTAACCAGGGATGGCGACGGGCCCGACTTGGGAATGAGCAAGCAGATCAAGCCTATAATTATATCTGGAGAATACGCGGTGCCTGGAGCAGCCACCAAGAACATGTCATCTTAATTGCATTCATTGGGCGGGCTGGATGTGCTTGAAGGCCCTAAGGCAGAGGTCACCAACCTTTGTCGGTTGACAGACCGGAGGAAAAGGGAATGAAAAGCATTTTGCGCACAGGGCCGCGAGCACGCGTTTGCCGCAAACAGGGTGGGGCCTGTACCCGTGTGATACTTACTAACCCTGCCCTGTTCTTGCCTGGCGCAGTGCCTTGTTTCTGTGCCCCGCGGCGTGATGGCGTCCCTTTTTGCACCTTGCAGTGCAGCGGCACCCCGTTTTTGCACCCCACGACGCAGTGGCGTCCCAGTTCCGTGCCCCGCAGTGCAGTGGCAGCCCATTTCCACACCCCAAGGTGAGGTTTTGACGTCCTGTTTTCATGCCCCACGGTGCGGCGGCAGCCCGTTTTTGCACCCCATAGCGTGTAATCCTGTTTTTGTACCATGTGGCCATGGCGCTAGCACAAGTGAGGAGTGTGCGCACACATGCGTGCTCACTGGCCAGCCTGTCCCGCGGCCCGGTGGCCAGCAGGCCATGCCCCACTACCAGGCCATGGCCCATAGGTTGGGGACCCCTGCCCTAAGGGGATAGGAAGGAGAAGGAAAGGAGGAGGAGAATGGGGAGAAAAAAAAGCCAGAAAGAAATCTATGGACGCAAAAACAGATGTTTTTCCTCCAGGATTTAGGCCAGAAAAGTAAGACCGAGGGAGAAATGAATCCAATGGAAAACATCACCTTTGGTCAGAGAAGGAGACCATGAATGGTAGGTTCCCATCACCAGAAAAGGTCAAAGCAAGGAAGGCAGGAAGGGGAGGTAAGACAGATGAGGTGGACTACAACACCCAGTTCAGGTACTCCTCAGCGTACAATCACAATTGAGCTCCAAAATTTCTGTTGCTAAGTCAGACATTTGTAAAGTGAGTTTTGCTCCATTTTATGACCTCGCCTGCCACCATTAAGTGAAGTCAATGCAGGTGTTGTTAGATCCTCCCCTTTACGACCTTCTGCCAAGCAAAATCAAGGGGGGAAAAACAGATTCATTTAACGACCATGTTACTTACTTAACAATGGCAGCGATTTGCTTTACAACTGCGGCAAGAAAGATCGTTAAAGTGGGGCAAAACTCACTTAACAGTCTCACCCAGCAACAGAAATGTTGGGCTCAGCTGCGGTCTTAAGTCGACAGCCATCGAAGACAAACACCCTGCCTGTGAACCCCCAAATCTTTCAGCCTATCGTGGCATCCTTCCACTAACTCTTCCCGGAGGCTACTCACCAAGGGCGCGGGCCACTGCCAAGAAGGGAATCTGGTCGATCACGGTGCTCCGTCGCACGGGGCCGTTGTGACTGAGACGAGGCCGTTTCCAGACCACCCGATTCACACCGGATTTATTGATCACACTAAAACGATTGGAGAGAACGAAAGTAGAAAGCCAAGTTTAAAAGAAACGAAAATTTTAAGGCGTTCGTACTAAATACATTTCTACAATTGATGACTCAAGATGCTGGTTGATACCTATACACCCTACCTGGCCTGGTTAACAGAGGAACTGCCAGTCTTCCACAGGTACAAGTAGTCCTTGACTTACAACTGTTCATTTAGTGGCCGTTCAAATTTACCACGGCCCGGAAAAAAGTGTACTTAGGACCGTTTCTCACACTTACAGCCGGTGCAGCACCCCTCACGGTCACTTGATCTAAATTCAGATGCTTGGCAACTGACTCGTATTTATGAGTCACAGCATCCTGGGGGGGTCACAAGATCCCCTTTTGCAACCTTCTGACAAGCAAAATCATTGGGGCAAGCTAGATTCACTTAACGGCCGCATGACTACTTTAACTCCATTCATTCATTTAACAACTGTAATAAGGAAAGTTGTCAAATGGGGCAAAACTCACTTAACAACTGTCTCACTTAGCAACACAAGTCTGGGGCTCAACTATGGTCGTAACTCGAGGACCCCCTGTATTAAAATTCTGAGACTTGGGAAAATCTCACCCAGGAAAGACACCACCTTAGGATTTGGATTCCACTTGCCATAAAAATGGTTCAGATGCTGAGCTAAGCCATAATAACTACTTTAAGCAAGAACCTATTCAAATGTGGTTGCCTGAACAAACCATGTGATAAAACCAGATATGCTTAACGAATGTGAGTTTAAAGAGAGACACCTATTACAAGGCTTTTCAACCAGTGGTAGGGGAACCACCTGTGGTACATTGGCACCTGGCAGGTGGTATGCAACCATCCTAGAAAAGTGGTAGTGGGGGAGGGGAATGGGCTGAACCGGTGGCAGCACCACACAAGCCTGAGCGAGAGATAGCTGGAGGTTGTCAGGGATCAGCGGAAGCGCCAGGATCAGTACCAAGCTCCAACTGGAGCTCGGCGCTGATCCTGGTGCTTCCGCTGAGCCAGAAGAAGCGCCGATCAGCTGAAATGTTGCAGCATCTAAGGGTCTTGTGATTTACATTCAGATGCTTGGCAACTGATTCATATTTATGACGGTCACAGTGTCCCAGGGTCATGTGAAGTGACCAAAACCTGCTGCAACCACCCAACAGACGATAGGAATAAAAACCAAACACCCCCCCACCCCACCCCCACTGCCAATCCTCAACAGAAATGCTCACAACAATAACAACCTCGGGCAGGAGGAAGAACACCACCGGGTGGGCAGGCAGGTGTCTTGCTCGGCTGTGGCTTGAGGGGCACTTTTTTCAGTGCCATTGTAACATCAAACAGTCACTAAGTGAATTGTTGTAAGTCGAGGACTACCTGTACTTCATCACTTTTTTCCTTTTTGGGGGGTGGGTTGACACCTTGCTAGGCAGCTGGTGGTACTCAGATATTGCCTTATCCTAAAAGTGGTACAATGGGTGAAATGGTTGAAAAGCCCTGGCCTATTATACAGGTAGTCCTCAACTTACAACCGTTTGTTTAGTGACCGTTTGAAGTTACAACGGCACTGAAAAAAGCGACTTACGACTGCTGTAGCATCCTTGTGATCACATAATTAAAATTCAAACGCTGGGAAACTGGCATGTACTTACGACAGTTGCAGTGTTCCTGGGGTGATCCGATCCCCTTTTGCGACCTTCAATGGGGGGAAGCCAGATTGACTTAAAGCCATGTTACTGATTTAAATAAAGGCGGGACTCAGCTAAGACCTGTGGCAAGGTCGTCGTAAAATGGGGCAAAGCTCACCTAGCTTAGCAACAGAAATTCTGGGCTCAATTTTAGTCGTAAGCCGAGGACCACCTATAAACAGGAAAAGCCACGTCTTGAACAAGCCAGCGAGATCTGTTACCTTCCCCCGAGGCCTTCAATCCGCTGCCTCTCCTTCGGTAGCTCCGGTTTGTGATCCTGCGTCACCTCCACGGCCCGGACATACTCGTCCTTGGGGTCATCCTGGACTCCAAGAACTACACCGGAGTCACCGACGTGAGCCACGTACATCTTTGAGCCACGGATGATGACCACGCTGGCTGTCGTGCCGGATGTGCTCGGCAGGCCCGTCATGGTTTTGGGCCATTCTGCTGCAAAGGGGGAAGGGGGAAATAATTATACGTTATATATAATAAATAAATAAATAAATAAATAAATAAGTCAGCAAGGGGGCTGGTTTAGTCTAGTACAGTGGTTCTCAACCTGTGGGTCGGGACCCCATTTGGGGTCGAATGACCATTTCACGGGGGTCGCCAAACCATGCTGTCGGCCATTTTTTTCCTTTTTCCCTAGCGGTCCTACTCCCTCTTATTGGTGGCCACACCCACTTGGGGGTCACCACAACATGGGGAACTGTATTATGGGGTCACGGCATTAGAAAGGTTGAGAATCACTGGTCTAGTAGCTGGTCACCGTTGAGTCAGAACTGGAATGAGAAGCAAAGCATTTTCGAGGATAAAAACGAAGAAAGTCAACCTCTTCTCCAAAGCGCCTGAAGGCAGGAAAAAAAGCAACGGATGGAAACTGATCAAGGAGAGAAGCGACCTGGAACTAAGGAGGAATTAATTTTTCATTAAACCAGAACAGGGGTAGGCAATCTTGGCTCTTTTATGACTCGTGGACTTCAACTCCCAGAATTCCTGAGCCAGCATGGCTCAGCTTGGAAACCTCTCTTTTTCCCCTCAGCATGGCTGGCACAGGAATTCTGGGAGTTGAAGTCCACGAGTCATAAAAGAGCCAAGGTGGCCTACCCCTGACCTAGGCCTGTATTTCTCAACCTTGGCCACTCGGAGATGGGTGGACTTCAACTCCCAGAATTCCTGAGCCAGCATGGCTCAGTTTGGAAACCTCTCCATTTCCCCTCAGCATGGCTGGCTCAGGAATTCTGGGAGTTGAAGTCCACGAGTCATAAAAGAGCCAAGGTGGCCTACCCCTGAATTAGATGTACTCAATTCCTGCAACCGTTCGTATGTTTTAGCTTCCAGTCTTCTATTCAGTGCTTTTTTTGTAAAAAACAAAAACAAACAAAGTACCGGAACTCACACACGTCATACAACCCGCCTTGCTTACCCTACAACAGGACTTTTCAATCTTTTCACCCACTGTACCACTTTTAGGATATAGCAACATCTGAGTACCACCAGTCACCTAGCAAGGTGTCAAAAACTTGATGACCAAAAAAAAAAAAGAAAAAAGAAAAAAAGTGATAAAGTACAGGTAGTCTTGACTTACAACAGTTCGCTTAGTGACTGTTTGAAGTTACAATGGCACTGAAAAAAGTGCCCCCCAAGCCACAGCCAAGCAAGACGCCTGCCTGCCCGCCCAGCCGCGCTCTTCCTCCTGTCCGAGGTTTCCATTGTTGTGAGCATTTCTGTTGAGGATTGACAGTGGGGGTGGGGTGGGGGGTGTTTGGTTTTTATTCCCCCCGTCTGCTGGGTGGTTGCAGCAGGTTTTGGTCACTTCACATGACCCTGGGACAATGTGACCATCATAAATATGAATCAGTTGCCAAGCATCTGAATGTAAATCACAAGACCCTGGAGATGCTGCAACATTCCAGCTGATCGGCGCTTCTTCTGCGCTCAGCAGAAGCGCCAGGATCAGTGCTGCTTTCCAGCTGATTGGTGCTTCTTCAGGGCTCAGCAGAAGCACCAGGATCAGCTCTGAGCTCCAGCTGGAGTCTGGTGCTGATCCTGGTGCTTCCACTGAGCCCTGACAGTTCCGAAGAAGCGCCAATCAGCTGGAAAGCGGCATATCCTGGTGCTTCCACTGAGCCCTGACAGCCCTGCAGCTCCAGCCGTCTCTCGCTCAGGCTTGTGCGGTGCTGCCACCGGCTCAGCTCATTCCCCTCCCCCGCTACCACTTTTCTAGGATGGTCGCGTACCACCTGCCAGGTGCCAATGGACCAGAGGTGGTACCCGTACCACTGGTTGAAAAGCCCTGCTCTACAAGGTTGCATCCAAAAAAGGTGCTGGAACTCCGTTCTGGGCGTTTATGACAAGAAAAGCCCTGCCTCTAATCATCTTTATTGCTCTTCTCTGCAATCTTTCTAGAGCACTGGTGTCAAACTCGCCATATCACGTGATCTGTTGCAATGTATCACAACTTTTTTTGCATTGCCGGAGCTGGCGTGGGCATGGCTTCCGCATGATGCAATCGGCCCACTGGCCAGCAGTTTAACACTCCTGTTCTCGAGTCTCAGCATCTTTTTTTACATCATAGTGATCAAAACAAGGAAAGGAAAGGAAAGGAAAGGAAAGGAAAGGAGAGGAGAGGAGAGGAGAGGAGAGGAGAAGAGAGGGGAGGGAAGGGGAGGAAAGGGAAAGGAAAGGGAAAGGAAAGAAGGGAAATGAGAGGAGAGGAAAGGAAAGGGAAGGGAAGGGAAGGAGGGAAATGGGAGGAGAGGAGAGGACAGAAAGGAAAGGGAAGGGAAAGGAAAGGTGGGAAATGGAAGGAGAGGAGAGGAAAGAAAAGAAAGGAAGGAAAGGAAAGGAGAAGGGAAAGAGGAAAATGGAAGGAGAGGAGAGGAAAGGAAAGGAAAGGGAATGAAGGGAAAGGAAAGGAAAGGGAAGGGAAGGGAAGGGAAGG